CTTGGGTTACTCTTTTACCAACGAATAGTGGGATTGACCGTCACATTATAACGCCCCCACGGCTGAAAGGACGAACATGTTTGATGAGACGTGGATTCGAACTTGCGACCCTGAGATTACAAGTTGAGTTGAGCTCCCTAACCACCTGGCCATGCCGGGCCCGTGAACAAATAGATAAAACATAAAGATCCCAAGTGACACAATGATAAGTCTGACAGCTTATAACGATAAAAAATCGCAATATGACACTGAAAAAAATAATATAGTGTCCAGATAATTTCAGGAAACAACTGTATTTTAAAACACAGTGAAAGTTTCTTGTTGACGAGCAATAAAAACCTTAAAACGAAAATACACTAACTATAAATTCAATTTATAGTTATTATTATTATTATTATTATGCATTATTAATGTAAAACAAGCAGCATTATTAATAGAGAAAAATAGAGAAAAACTTAGTCAAATTTAAATCAAAATTACTTATTTTGAAAGAAACAACAAAACTTAATGACGCTAAAAATTATAAGAGTGTTGTTTCTAACGCCTGCAGTTGTATTGTTCAGTTCTGTTTATGTGTTTGTTACCTTATCTTTAAGGTATTGAAGAACGGTTAAGGAAATTTTGATTATCTGTAAAATTTCTGTTAAAAAGGTCAACGCTACAAGTGTTAGTTGTAAATAAGTAAACTAATGCGACTGAGTTCAGAAAAATTAGCAGATGAAATGCTATTACTATGTCCGGCAAGTATCTCTATATCAAATAATTCAACCATTATGTAAATAGTAACAAACTTGCATTTTTAACTGTTTATAGGATTCTGTTTGACGACAACCTGTTCTTATACTAACAGATATGGCAATTTCATATGTCAAGCAATTAATGTATTATAATTGTATTTTACTTGAAAATTGTGTAATGAAATATACAAGTGGTGCATACAAATGAAACAAAAAAAACACTTTCATATGTATTATACAATATGTTATAGTTTACTTGAATACACATATTTTACATATTAAAACGCTTTTTTGATATTGAAATGAAACTATAAAGTAGAAAGTTGCCCCTAACAATAATGCAGAAACTAATATCAAGTTAAGAACTATAGAGAATGAAATAGTAGTATTTTTAGCCGCAGCACAGCGGCTCATAGAATGGCTCCGAGTTATTTTTCGAATTCAAACTTTTAGCTCATAGCTCCATCTCTTGACCGATTTCAGATCTTATTACAGCCACAGTTTCTGAGGATTCCCTTTTGTTTCATAATGCGATGCATGCGATATACATTTAGAGTTGAAATGTATCTACCCCTAGCAACTACATTAAATTATCAGACCTCTGACACCACTCTGTGGATATATGGCATCTTGTAATCTCCCTCGGCTCAAAGGGTATCCCCCTTGCAAGGAAGCATCCTTTGATATCCCCCTCCCTCTCATGCCCTCAGGCGCTGGTATCCTTTGGTTATGGATCAGGCGATTAACTTTTAATAACTTAATGCAGTGAGAAGTAAATAAGAAACAAAGCTTTATTTGGTGAGACAAATTCCATTATTGATTTTAGTCGAGATTATAAAACTATGCGTACACATACTGCAGGAACAATTCTTTACTGAAAAAACATCACATGTCATGTGTACTAATCAAAATATTCATTAAATCATAGTTCATGTTCGTCACATTTAGATGAGATATTGTTATCAGTTGCAGTTCATTTCATGAAACATTTCTTTATCCAAGAAAGTAAATACTTGCATAGAAAAAAAAACAAAAAAAAACAGGTTTCTTTGTAAAGTCTTGTGAAGCTAAAAGTGGAAATGTGCTTGACTATTTCTTTCTGCGACTTTACTTTCCTTACATGGATTTTCACGAAGCCTACATGGAACCTTGTTGTTTCAATCTAGATTTCTCTTACCAATAATATTAACCTTCAGCTTTCGGTGAGTAGTACGTCCTATTTGGTAATCCACCCTACATCTGTATTCTCCAGCATCTTCTTCCGTTACTGGCTCTATGATAAGATAAATTGTTCTTATGGTGATATTCAAGGTAGCTCGAGAGGCATACTCATCATGAACAACACGCTTTGCTTGTGCTACAGGCTCGTTTCTTGCATCTACACTGTACAGAGGGTTTTCGGACGTCCCATGATACCACAACACAAGTGATACACGATCGTCTTGGGATGGAGGCGTGATATTACAAGGTAACGTTATTTTACGTCCAACCACACTGTCATATTCTGGATACTCTAGAAGATAAAGCAGAAATAATAAGCAGTGAGAAAATTAAGGTATTAATTTCGTTGAATACAGATTTACCACATTAAAAATTGGAAGCTGTTTATGCTTCTCTCTAGGATTATCAATGTTAAACGCGTATGCAAATCATACAACAGAACTTAGATTTACTTCAGATTGTATTGGCAAATTACACTTTATATATATATATATCACAAAAATAGAACATATTATCGAAAACATCCTGTTTTAACTAAATATTAAGATAAGTAGATTTGAGTAAGAAAGCGTATTATCTAATATAATAATAAGTTGTCCCCCCCCCAAAAAAAATCCTCATTTCATTATGCTTATAATACGTTGTTTGAAAGCTTATTATTAGTAAACCTGTACGATTAAGAAACAACTTAAAAAAGTTATTCTACAGTTTGGTAAAGTATACTACCTTTTTGTCCATCGTAGTAATAATGGGCTGCCTTGAGTTTAATTCCTGGCACCCCTATAACATAAAATAACTTATTATGGTTATTTGCCAAAGATAAACATATTTTCCAGTGATTTTTGTTTTGCAGTGATATAATATAATAATTACCAAGCAAACTTCAAATATAGTCAAGGAGAATAAAACCTATTTTCTTTTTCTAGTGATCACACAGAACTTCATTAGTGTACTACCTAACAAAATTCAATAGGCTTATCTTGAACAATCTATTAACAGCACTTATTTTAGTGAACCTGTATAAAAAAAGGGAAATTTCTTGGTGATAACCTCGGTAAACATACGCCATTCTTCTTTATTTTAACATATACATGTAAGTGCATGAAATTGGATTATGTAGTACAAACACACAAGTTCCCTGTTGGGACAGCGCTAAGTCTACGAACTTACAACGCTAAAATCCAGGTTTGATTCCTCGCGATGGATAAGATAGGTAGTCTAATATGGCTTTGTTCTAAAACAAAAACAAAAAAAGACAAAATAGTTAGTTACTCATATACATATAAAATCAAACTTAAGCCCGGCATGGCCAGGTGGTTAGAGAGCTCGACTTGCAATCTGCGGGTTCGAATCCCCGTCTCACCAAACATGCTCGCCCTTTCAGCAGTGGGGGCGTTATAATTTGACGGTCAATCCTACTATTCGTTGGTAAAAAGAGTAGCCCAAGAGTTGGCGGTGGGTGGTGATGACTAGCTGCCTTTCCTTTAGTCTTACACTGCTAAATTAGGGACGGCTAGTGCAGATAGCCCTCGTGTAGCTTTGCGCGAAATTCAAAACAAACCAACAAACTTTTTTCTTGACTGAATTTTTTTAACTTGCGCTCGCTTGATCACTTATCAGTAACAAACAAACAAAATCAAACTTGCTAGTATGAGTGTTCATCAAACAGTTTAGTTTAAAATATGCTATATGTGTTTGCTTGTAATCCAACGGTGTTTTTCTTAATAAATTACTTATATACATTAGCAATAAGTTAGTTTTATATTGCCTTTTTTTAGAGGGAAAAGATTAAAAAAACTTGACTGATCTTAGAAAGTATAACAGTTTATTGGTTTTGAAAGGTAGAATTCACTAAAATGTGCATTCTACATTGAATTATAAACAACTAGCATAAAATTACCACGTTTCGCTGCGGGATTCTAACGTCCCCTCATGATTCTCAGAGGCCTCAATGTACCAGTCAAACGTCTCCATTACCTTAATTACTTCTATAGTTACCCAACACTCCAATTATTTAATTGATTTGTCTGCTGTCATTTTCCGAACTTAATTCAATCCAACTCTTTTAAAAGCAAATAGTTTTAATTTAGCTTCTCCGATTCGTTATTTTTTCTTCCTGTTTTTTATTTGAATTATTTCCATTTTCCGAATTTTCCAGTATTCTCTGATCCATATTTTTCTTACCGCTGTTTGTTGCAATTTCCCGAACTTGGTTCAATTCAATTTTTTTTAATTCTCAGATTGGTATTTTTCTTCCCATGTTTGTGTTGAAAAAGAGTATTTGGCACAAAACCTCCACGTATTGCTCATCAATAAGTGAGAACTAGAGAAAACATCTTATCTGTAGACTTTCGGTAAGCAGAAATTTGGGACTTAAGGGCTATAAGGCAAAAAATTGGCCAACATATTTTGAGTCAACTTAAAAAAAATATCCATATGCACACCCTCAGAACTCTCTTTAGAATGTGTGCAAATTTTCAGGTCTCTAGATACTTTCCTTTTGGAGCTATGGCGGTTACACAACACACACACAGACAAGCTCTTTTATTAATATATTCTATTTACTCTGTTGTATTTTCCTAGGACAATGATTTATAACAAATAATTTAAAGGACTGAAATAATAATGATAACTTTAGGACGAGTTAATATTACATTTGAATAAAATAATGAATGATTAAAATAAACCATATTATAATAATAACAAGTTAAAAAGAGAACTAATAATCTCATTGGAAAGGAAACTTATTTATTTAAGGTGTATTTTGCAAGTTACACAAGTATGCGAAACTAATTGAATGAAAGTAATACTAATGTTTTCTATGGTTATCTTAGTTTCACATAAGCATGAAAACATAATTTAGGTAATATTGATTTACCTACGTGAAGAAGTGTTGAGTTCAAGAGAAAAAGTATCAAAAAATCACTATAAAGATATGGGTTTGGTTTGTTTGAAGTTAAGCACAAAGCTTCACAATGGGCTATCTGTACTCTGGTCACCACGGGTGTCGAAACCTGGATTCTAGCGTTGTAAGTCCGCAGACATGCCACTGTGCCGCTGTGGGGGGGGACAAAGATATCGGAAGCAATGAATGATAAATGTATTGAAAAGTGATATTCCTTAACTTATGTGAACCATTATGTTTCTCAAACCATGTTTGCTTGTTTTTATAGTTAGGCAAAATAGATTCGCCAGAGTCCACGTAGTGTGAAAACATTATTACAACTAACCTATATATTTGTATATATCATCCGAAAATCTTCAAAAACAAGAAAGAGGAATACAAAAAGTCAATATATATTTGGATTACCTATTGAGAGGAATGTTGTAAAATGTAAACAATATGTTTCTAGAGAATATTTAAACAAAGCAGTGCATTATTATCACTTAGTTTGCATAAGAACAGATATCAGAAACAGGGACACGAAACCTTTTGTTGTTCTGCATCAAGCATTTTAGAAAAAAACAAAAACTGTTGACTATTCACAGAGATCGTTGAACATATATTTTTCCAGTAGAAGTACGTACCACCCAAAACAGCATTTCTAAGGAACATTAATGTTGCCTAATATGGACGCATTTAAATTGTTAACTGTAAAAAATTGCTATAAAATATATTGTATGTTACTCTAACTTTTACAGCAACTGATTGCATTTGAAAGATTCAGTAATATTTCAGCTTTACTGTGATTTACACAGTTGGCAATTGTATTTTTTAAAATAACATATCCTGCTATTCTAATTACAATAATTCACAGGAATTGGTCTATCAGTATATATCAATTTGTTTCCAAGAAAAAAATATCTAAAAGCTCTCAATTTTTTTTCAAGATAATAAGTATTTAAAGACTTTTTACTGCATCCGAAGATGTGTTTTTTTTGGGAGGGAGGGGGGAGGTAGTATATATGAGAAATCCTGACAACTTGAGTTGGTTTTGCCTTTGCCCGAGTCAGTTTCAGAATAGTTATATAACTATCTCTAACGAGCAAAGCTCACTAAGAACCCATCCCAAGCGCTCTAGTTTACACAGATGTGTGTTAGTGTTAATTAAGAGAGAAAAACAAAATTAGTCTTATATCTTAAAGCAAGATTAATTTCATATACATCTAGGTACCCCTCTTAATACATCCTCAATGAAATTCATTTTCATCCAGAACGAGGCTTGACTGGCAGTAGCATCTTTCTCGTGATTTATCTGTTGTTCCAGAATTATCTGGAAGCATTTGCCAAATCCCGAAATAAATCTTACGGAAAAAAAAAACATTTCAAAAGGTGTCAGATATTACTCAGAACATCAAAGGTCAGTAAAATACAATTTGTAAATATCCCCGTCCTTGTTTATGACCCGTATATGATTTAATATAAGGATTACTGTTTCATTGGTAGGCAGTAAACTAATCTGGATCTATAGAAGCCGAAGTCAATAATTGTCATAGATTTATAGCCCATGTCATCAATTTAAACAAATATTTACATTGGGTTTGTAAATAAATAAATTAGTAAATAGATTTCCATTTCAGATTATCTAGTCTGACGTCATAAGTCACACGAGAGTTCTGCAAGTTCAACACAGTGGCCCCACTCACCTCTTTACATTTTTGGAAACGGTCTCTTATATTTACTTACTTTTGGATATGACATGTGAATAACGGATCGAAAGCTCAGAATATCCCCCTAATGGCTTTCTCAGCAATTTTCAAGTGTTACGCCCTCATTACGTTCTTTCGATACAAATCTTCATTCTGGTAAAGGCGAATCTTTAGTGAGCTCGAAATTTAATATTTTTTTAGACCCAAATACAGTTTAGTTACTAAATTTGGTAAATTATAGTGGAATTCTATGGTACTGATATAGTAATTTATGATTTTTGATTATTTCAAATGTATATATAAAACCTAAAACAAATTATTTCGTTTCATATCCTCCACGTGCGAAATTTGATAAGGCTTAGCAACTTACGGCAAGCAGCACACGAGTATAAAGTTCGTAACTAGAAGAAATAACTGTTTGCTACACTTCTCTATTTACTGTTTTATGGTTTAAGAAAATACTTATTTGTAAATAGTAATACTGTATTTACATATACAATGCATTATAACTAAAATGTGAGTGTATTTTACAAAATACCAGTCCACTAAAACACAGCCAAGACAGGTCACTTTGTAAAGGCCAGTTTTATATTTTTAGATAGGGTAACATGAGTGCATGTGCGCCGTCGTACCCTTATGATGGCATACTTCAACGAGGATAAAGATTCTCTTATCGTTCTGAAAGATGTGTGTATAAATCAATTTTGTGTAGTCGGTCAAAGATCTTAAAGTGAAAACACCGTGTTCATAATATTTAAAATTACATAACACTAGTATGTCATGTTTTACAATTAACTTTTTAAATTTGTTTTCAAATGACATATTCCACGAAGGATGCTGAGTCAGTTTCTGCATCTTTTCAAATGCTTAAATTAATTATTAAACGTAAGGCCCCGAAAAATATGCAATGATTTTCTTAGCGCTACCCAACCCCCAAACATATCTGAGTGCTCCTTAATTATGCTCTTTCTTTAAAACTAGTAGATGGATGGTCTCCATAGAAGGAAAAGCTATAAGTGAATCAGCCACTGTCAACATGTTAGCCTTCATATATGGCTTGGCCACGCTGTTCGCGTCTAATTATGTATACAACATACATTATCAAATCGAAGCTGCAGCAACAATGGAATTTATTGAAAGGTTTGTGCCTTTCTCTAATATACAAAACAACTGCTTTGATCAAATGGCAT